GGAGAGGAGGCGCTCCGGGGGAGGCCCCCGAAGGGGCGGCCTCCCCGCCTCCGCACGGCCCGCCTCGTAGACCGCGGGCCGCGAGCCTCGGCGGCGGCGGCGACGACGAGTCTGACGATGACGAGGCCGACGGCGACGTCGGCGGCGACAGCGGCGGCGGCGGCGGCCGACGGCGACGAGGGGCCTGGCGCGGCGCGAGGTGCAGGAGGCCCGCGCGGCGCTGCAGGCGGGGAGCCGCACGGTGGTGTGCGCGCCCGAGAGGGGCCCGCGATCGCGCCGCCGGAGGCTCTCGGGGGTGGAGGGTCGCTGGAAGACATCACGGCAGGCTCGCGTCGCGTCGGCTCGCCGCGACCCCGCTCGCGGGCGCCCTCAAGGTTGAGCGCCGCCTGTGGCCCAGCATCGGCCAGTGTTGATGGGCCTGTGCTCCACCACCACCACCACCACCACCACCACCACCACCACCACCACCACCACCACCACCACCACCACCACCACCACCACCACCACCACCACCACCATAAGTTGGAGGGGGGAAGGAGGTGGAGGGTGAGGATGAGGAGGAGGAGGAGGAGGAGGAGGAAGAAGAAGAAGAGGGGGAAGAGGATTCTCTCCCCCATCCTACTTATGGTGGTGGTGGTGGTGGTGGTGGTGGTGGGAAACAGGCCCATCAAATATGGAACGATCTGGCGGTCGGGACGCTGCCCATCCTTCAAGGCTGATCATCGATCCACGCGGTGTCAGAAACCAACGCGCGGGGGTCGTCACGGCACGAAACCACCGCACCCCGCCTCCTCTCGCTTTGAAGCAAGAGAGATACGGGGAGGCTGGAAAGGGTGGCTGGGGCCAGCCCTCCCACTCTGCTTCCGGCCCTGGCCAGTGTTCCTTTCTACTTTGTTCCAGCCCTGGCGACCTCGTCCCAACTTCTTCGTGCCCGTCGCAGCCCTTGCTGGCTTTTCCGCCCCTGGCCTCTGCCACTTCTTGACGGAATTCCCGGCTTCCACTTTTCCCAGGCTCCCTGCAGTCACGACGGACGGTTTTTGGCCATTTGCGGCCTTTGGGGGGCCCTCACCAGGGTTCCAGGTCTGTCGAACAACGACTTGGGATGAAACACCGGTCCAGGGGAAGGGGTCTAGACCTCCGGGGGTCCGCGTTGTTAAACCGTCACGACGTCGGAGATCCGGGTCCGAAGGATTGGTCTTTTCACTCCCGGCGTTTTCACAACTTCGGCCTCGGCCGGTTTCGGGCCCGGAGGCCGACCCGTGGGTTGGGAGACACTTTTCTGGCCAGCCTACGTTCGCGGCATGGCCCTGGCTGATCCGGGGCTAGCACCGACCCCGGTCCTCGTTTTCAATCAGCAGCGCCCTGCGTCTCCCACCTCCTCCTAGCAGCGCATCTTTCGCAGAACAATCGGAAACCTATTTCTCCTCCTCCTCCTCCTCCTCCTCCTCCTCCTCCTCCTCCTCCTCCTCCCCCTCCCCCCTCCTCGATCCTCGATCGATCCTCGATCCCCCAGCGAGCAGGGGCGACCGACCTCGATCCTCGATCCTCCCTGATCGATCCTCGATCCTCGATGGATCCTCGATCCTCGATCGATCCCCGGGGCGAGGGGTGACGGGGGCCGAGCCTCCGAGGTCCCTGCTCTTCCCCTTCGGGGAGTTCTTCGCGGACGCCCCGCAGCCGCTCTTCCCGAGCACGCGCCGCGCCCAGCCGGGAGGCGGTGGAGTGTTTTTGTTTTGTTGTTCTCAAACTTAAACAACATATTAAAACAAGCTAGACGTGTTTTTGTGTGTGCCCAATCATCCTGTGGTGTTGGGTCCTCGTTTTGAAGAGTCAGCGCCCCGCGTTCCTCCTCCTCCCGCTGCCCCCTCCCTCCCCCTCATCCCTCCTCCCTCTCCTTGCCTCTGCCTCCGCATGCTTCCGTTTCGGCATACCCAGTACAGCGTTTCGTGGCCCCAAAGGGAGCTCCACCGCAGGCACCAGTGGCAGGGTTCGCATGGCGCCACCGCGCTCATTTCGGCACACCCCTCACACCCCTCATCGCCGGCGTATGTCAGCCGAGCCTCCAACGCCGCAGTTTTTACCATGGCTGGATAGAGGCCGTTGAGCGACAATCTCATGAAGCTACAGCTACTCTTCATGGGGCAACTCGCAAGACGTCCGCATGCAGATCCTGTGCGACGCTCGGTTTTCGGGCTGGCTGGATTTGATCTCCGAGCCCCATGAGGGCCACGCAGGAAAGGGCGCCCAAGACAATCTTGGGGCAGCATGGCCATGCGCAACTGTCTGTCCGTGGCTGGCTCCCGGGAGGCCTCGTCTGCATTCTCCTGCCGCGACGGCAGAGCAGCGGCCTCACCGGAGTCGGCAGTAGAGAAATGGCACCAGCTGTAAATAGTGCTGCGTTTCGTCACTACTTATCTCCTGTCTCACCCTGCTCGCGCGCCGTCTGGCGCAAGTCTGACGTTCGTTCCTCGCGCGTTTCGTGGCCCGAGAGGAAGCTTCACCGAAGGCCCCAGTGGCAGGCTTCGCATGGCGCCACCGCTTCCATGTCGGCACACCCCTCACACGTTCCGTGGCCGCCGTGGCCCCAGAGGAAGCTCCACCGAAGGGCCCAGTGACAGGCTTCGCATGGCGCCACCGCACCCCTTTCGGCACACCCCTCACACGTTTCGTGGCCCCAGAGGGAGCTCCACCGAAGGCCGCCGTGGCAGGGAGTTCCACCGAAGGCGGGGCTCGCAACTGCGGTTTTCACAGTTGCATATGGTTGGGTTCTTCGCCCGCAACTTTTTAATGTTCTAAACTATTAGTTGTTGTTTGTCATGCTTTATGTTTTATTAGTGTTATTCTACCACACAAATATGTGTATATATATATATATATGTATATTCACGTGCACGGTCGGACCGAGGTATAAGATCGATACCGGTTCGGAGAGGGTGCCCTCATGCCCTTCGTGTTTGGTTTTGGTGGTCTCGTGCATCCTGGGGGAGGGTGCTTGTTGGATGTTCTTGTGCATCCTGGGGAAGGGGGTACCCTCGAATGTCATCTTCGTGCTCGTTGGAGGTTCTTGTGCATCCTCGGGGAGGGTGGCCTCGAATGTTTTCTAGTTGGGCCGGCGCAGGGCCGCATGTCCTTGAAGGATGTCCTTCTGTCCCAGGTCCGGCCGTACTCACGAGCCAGCCGCTCTGCGGTGGCTCGCGAGCTCTCCCTCCAGTGTGCAGACGAGCGGGGCGCGCGCCCTCGTCGAAGGAGAGCAGCATTCGTCGAGTATTGCATTCATGCGTGAGGGCCGCCCACTCCTCCTCCTCCTCCTTTCCTCCCCCTCTCGGAGGTACTCGAAGATGCCTTCTCCCCCTTTCCTCCCCCTCCCCCTCCTCTTTCCTCCCCCCTCGGGTGCCGTCCCTGTCGCAGAAGAACAAACGCCATAAATAGAAAGTTCTGGCGCTTCGCGCGGATTTCTTGGATCTGCGCTGGGCCCCCCTGGCGGCGCCTCCCGCGCCGCCCCTGGCGCGCCTCGCGCGCCAGGGAGGGGGTCCAGCGCAGATCCACGAGCTCCGCGCGGAGCGTCAAGAGTTTGTGTGTTCGTGGCTTTTTTCTTCCTCTAGGCACAGCGCTTGCTCTCTCATGCGCACGTGCACGCTCGGCCCTGCGCGCCGTAGCCTCGCTCGTGTTCGCGGGCCGCCCCTCGCGGTCTGCCCCGGGGCCTCGGGCCCGTGGGCGTGCGCCCGCTTCGCCAGGGTCGCCGCAGGCGGTGTCGGGAGGCGCCCCCGACTCCACCCCCGCGGGGGCCGACGTTGGTGAGGGATGTCCCGAGCGAGGTCGCCCGTGCGGGAATCGTACCAGGCGGGGCCGCGGGATTCGCCAGGGTTGTCTTCGTGGAAGAGGTGCAGGGCCTGGAGCGTCGTCCTCGGCCGCTGTTTTCCTCGTCCTGATGATGAGGAGGCTGCCGATGCGGACGCTGCTGCTGCTGATGACGATGATGATGATGAGGATGGTGCTGATGATGATGAGGCTGAGGATGAGGATGAGGATGATGAGGGTCATTCGTATTATTACCATTCGCCTTTACAGTCTTAGTCTTATGCCTGCTATTATCATTATCTTTCTTACTTTTGTAGTATGATGGCTATGCTTTCGTACTACTTGTAGTATCACTGTTATTGGTGGTTTCGATATTAGTATTGTGAGTGTTATCAGTCTGTTTAGAGTATCACTACTACTACTACTACTACTACTACTACTACTACTACTACTACTACTACTACTGCTACTACTACTACTACTACTACTACTACTACTACTACTACTACTACTACTACTACTACTACTACTACTACTACTACTACTACTACTATTACTACTACTACTACTTTCTTCTACTACTACTACTACTACTACTTACTACTACTACTACTACTACTATTACTACTACTACTACTACTGCTACTACTACTACTACTACGACTACTACTACTACACTACTACTCCTACTACTCCTACTACTACTACTACTACTACTACTACTACTACTACTACTACTACTACTACTACTGCTACCACCACCACCACCACCACCACCACCACCACCACCACCACTACTACTACTACTACTACTACTACTACTACTACTACTACTACTATTAGTACTGTTATAATTTTTGTATTACCATCAGTAATATTTCGAGCACTCGTGCTGTCATTGATATTACTGGCATTCCCATTCTACCATTACAAGCATTACCATTTTTCTTATTTGTCTTACCATTGATTGTATTGCTGTTGGTATCGTTTTCATTAATGTTATTATGATTGTTATTAGTTGCACCATTCGCATGTTTATTAGTATATGTTATTCCCTACCTAGGCTCTGCCTAGAAGGAATCTTACCTGTGTGCTTAAAGGGCCCGGCAATGGAAACCGCCCCCGGCGGTTCCCCCGGCATCCGCCCCGCGGTTCCCCCGGTTACGTCCCCTTAGCTTGGCGTTGCTTATCTCATCTCATCTTATCTTAGCTTTTTCATCTTAGCTTAGCTTAGCTCCACCTTAGCTCAGGTTTATTCCCTACCTAGGCTCTGCCTAGAAGGGTTCTTACCCTGTGTGCTTAAAGGGCCGTGCAGTGGAAACCGCCCCGGGCGGTTCCCCCCAGGATCCACCCCGCGGTTTCCCCAGTGGCGCCCTCTGGGTTCACCCAGCTTAGCTAAGCTAAGCTAAGCTTAGCTTAGCTTTGCTTAGCCTTAGCTTAGCTTATTTTATCTTAGCGTCTTAGCTTAGCTTAGCTTTGCCTAGCCTAGCTTAGCGTAGCTGAGCTTAGCATAGTTTAGCTTACCTTAGCTTAGCTTAGCTTAGCTTAGCTTAGCTTAGCTTGGCTTGGCTTGGCTTGGCTTAGCTTAGCTTAGCCTAGCCTAGCTTAGCTTAGCTTAGCTTACTTAGCTTAGCTTAGCATAGCTTTGCTTACCTTAGCTTAGCTTAGCGCAGCGCAACATAGCGCAGCGCAGCATTCGCACAGCATAACATAGCATACCATAGCCAAGCATATCATAGCATACCATAGAATAGCTCAGCATAGCATAACATAGCGTAGCATAGCATAGCATAGCATAGCGCAGCATAGCATAGCATAGCATATCATAGCATTGCTTAGCATAGCACAGCGCAGCATAGCACAGCATAGCATAGCACAGCAGAGAGCAGCACAGCATAGCATAGTATAGCATAGCATACCGCAGCATCGCATAGCATAGCGCAGCATAGCACACCATAGCATAGCCTAGCCTAGCATAGCATAGCACAGCATATATCAACATAGCATAGCATAGCATAGCGCAGCATAGCACAACATAGCATGGCATAGCATAGCATAGCGCAGCATAGCATAGCATAGCATAACCTAGCATAACGCAGCACAGCCGAGCGTACCCTAGCATAGCATAGCATAGCATAGCGCAGCATAGCGCAGCATAGCAAAGCATGGCATAGCATAGCATATACTAGCGCAGCATAGCATAGCATAGCATCGCATAACATAGCATAGCATAGCATTGCATAGCATAGCATAACATAGCAGCAAAGCAAAGGCAACACAGCAACAGCAACAGCAAAGCAAAGCACAAGCAACGCAACGCCGGCGTAGATGTAGATGTCGCTTTCCTAAATGCTCAATTTTCTAGGTAGGGTCGCTCTGGGATAATTGTTTATCAGTATGATGATGCTGATGATTCTGATGATGGTGGTGATGATGATGCTGATGCTGATTATGACCATGACCATGATGCTGCTGCGGGAGCTGATGATAATGCTGCTGATGATGATGAGGCTGCTTCTGATGATGCTGATACTGATGATGACGATGCTGATGATGAGGCTGCTGCTGATGATGATGACGATGATGCTTATTATTATCATTATGGTGATGATGCTGATGATGTCGATGATGTTGATGATGCTGATGCTTATGCTGATGATGATGCTGATGATGATGATGATGCTGATGATGATGAGGAGGGGGAGGAGGAGGAGGAGGAGGAGGAGGAGGAGCAGGATGCGGAGGCGGAGGACGACGAAGAGCATGACACATAATATTTGGCATTACGTAAGGTTCGAATGCGGATGCTTATATCGAGATCGAAGATGAGGACGAGGGGTAGACGAAGGAGGCGGGGGCCTTGCGACGATGATCGAAGATGCCTGCAGCGAGTCGTCGCCGCCCCATGCCTCCTGGAAGCGCCAGCGCCAAGGCGGCGGCCGTGCTAGGAGATTGCGTGTGCCCACAGCGCTCACAGTGGAGACACATGCCAAGAAACACCCTGCTTGCCTCCAGGGTGCCCTTGGGTCTCGATGGTTTTGTATGGAAGGCGTGACGTTCCCACACAAAGTATCAATGAACATCCTGGGGTCTCAGGGCTGAGTCTCTTGTGGAAGGTTTCTCGTGGTCGGGCTCCTACTGCAGGGAACGCGCCGAGGGAACACCGCGGAGCGGCCCTCTGTGGTCCTCTTGGTCTTGGGGCTCTCCTGGAGCTCTCCTCCGACCCTTTGGGCCTCCACTCGGGGGCTCTTCTGGGCTCTCTGGGGCCACACCCTGGGGCTCTCCCCTTGGGCCGTCTCGGCATGCCCTCTCGGCCCGTCCGGCGCCCTCGGATGCGGTCCCTGTCGCAGAAGAACAAACGCCATAAACATACATGTTTGGCGCTGCGCGCGGATTTCTTGGATCCGCGCTGGGCTCCCCCAGCGCCTCCCGCGCCGCCCCTGGCGCGCTCCGCGTGCCAGGGAGGTGGGTCCAGCGTAGATACAAAGAAATCCGCGCGGAGCATGAATAGTTTATGTTTGTGCTGTTTTTTCTTCCTCTGCCCTGGGGGGGCCTGCCTGGATAACCCTGGGGGGCCCATTGGGGGGCTCTGTGGGGTCGCCCCTTGGGGCTCTCTTGGGATGCCTTGGGGCCCCGAGGCGCCGTTTCGGGGGCTGTCTTTGGGATCGTCTCGGGGTCCTCCTCGGCCGTCCTCGGGGGCCGCTTTTGCGAGGTCTCGTGGGCCCCTCTGGGGTGATCTCTAGGGGCCTCGTGGGCCGTCTTCGGACCATACGAGCCAGAGATATTGTCATATACTTGAGTTTGGCACTCTTGCTTCGTTCTAATCTCTCTCCAGCTGCGCGGGGTGGATGGGCATCCTGCGATGATCGAGCCTCCGTGTCCTCTGGTTGCCGATTCTGACTGCATCGGGGCAGAGTGTGCCGTTAGAAGCTCTTGGATGCGGGGTGCTGCGGATCGGGACGGTGCCATCGGCAACGAGTCCATCGCCTCCCGATGTCGATGGCCCAGGATCTGTCGTGGTAGGCTCTGGTTGTGCGGTTTCCCAGTTGAGGCGGCGTCCTCGTTCTCTGCTCGTTCGCTGCCGTCCGCTGGATACTTCGCCGCGGAGTGCGAACCCAAGGTCGTACGAGGCAGATTTGGAGGTCGCGGAGGGTTGCTACCGCTATCTCCAGAATGTGTTCAAGGAAATTGAGGATTGCAGCCGACCGCCGCGAATGCCGCAGTACGTTTTCTGGGTGGGAGGGTGATGCGGAGCAGTGAGGACACAGGCGAGGGCGACATTGGGGATGGAAGGGTCGAACAGGGAGGGGCTAGGTTTGGAGGGGAGGATGGGAAGCATGGAGACAAGGCGTTGGACGATCGAACTTCGCGGACAATTTGTGTGTGCACCGCACCGCCTTGGCGTCTCGCGAGGCGTCGCCGATCCTCGACGCAGGATTGGTGCGGGGCATGCAGTGGAAGCCCATGCCAAGAAGCACCCTGCTAGCCTCCAGGGTGCCCTGGGTTTCTTGGGCTTCCATGGTTGGAGATCATGGCGTGCCCACACCGAACATCCATGGACGCCCTGGGTTCTCAGGGTTAGGTCTCTTGTGGAAGGTTTCTTGTGGACGAGCCTCCACTGTACGGTGCATAGGTTTTCGACCCTCGAGGCCGGAACAGTATGCGCCGTGGCGCGTTGGAGCGGCGCCCGACGGGAGCCCAGCAGACACGATGCGGTGCACATGGGCCCCGTTCTCTTACGAAACAGCATGGGGCGATTGAGGACAGGGGAGGAGGAGGAGGAGGAGGAGGAGGAGGAGGAGGAGGAGGAGGAGGAGGAGGAAGAGGGGAAGGAGGAGGTTGAGGAGGAGGAGGAGGAGAACATGTGTCCGCCGCTAGGGTGATGATGCTGATAATGATGATGATGCTGATGCTGCTGATGATGAGATGATGATGATGGTGGTGGTGATGATATGATGATGATGATGCTGATGTACTGCTGATGCTGCTGCTGCTGTGTGATGATGATGATGATGATGATGTGATGATGCTGATGATGATGATGATGATGCTGATGATGATGATGATGATGATGATGATGATGATGTTGAGATGAATGATGATGTGAAGATGATGATGATGATGCTGATGAGGGGCGGAGGAGGAAGAGGAGGAGGAGGAGGAGGGTTGAGGAGGGTGAGGAGGGAAGAGGAGTAGGAGGAGGAGGAGGAGGAGAAGGAGGAGGAGGAGGTGGAGAAGGAGAAGGAGGAGGGGAGGAGGAGCAGGAGGAGGAGGAGGAGGAGGTAGGAGGAGGAGGAGGAGAGGAGGAGGAGGAGGAGGAGGAGGAGGAGGGAGAGGCAGGAGGAGGAGGAGGGGGAGGGAGGAAGAGGAGGAGGAGTAGGAGGAGGTAGGAGGAGGAGGAGGAGGAGGGAGGAGGAAGAGAGGAGGAGGAGGCGGAGGAGGAGGAGGAGGAGGAGGAGGAGGCGGGAGAGGAGGAGGAGGAGGGGGGAGGAGGAAGAGGAGGAGGAGGAGGAGGAAGGAGGAGGAGGAGGAGGAGGAGGAGGAGGAGGAGGAGGAGGAGGAGGAGGAGGAGGAGGAGGAGGAGGAGGAGGAGGAGGAGAAGGCGCGCGGAGCGCGACAGGGAGGGGGGTCCAGCGCTGATCTCAGAAATCCGCGCGGAGCGCCAAAAGTTTATGTTTGTGCAGCTTTTTCTTCCCAAATTCTGCTTGGGTCGGCCTGCATGCTCTGGAGGCTGCGCGGCATTTGCGCTCGGTGAGTGTCCCCCCTGGTAGCACGGCGGGTCCCCGCTCCAGAGGGTCCCGGACGACGGGGTCCCCCACGAGAGGGTCCCACACGGCCGAGTCCTGCACGGAAGGCGCCCAGACGATATGATTCCACACGACAGGGTGCCACACGAGGGGGGTCTCACACGATGGGGATCCACACGATGAGGTCCTGTAGATCGCACCCCACAGTGCAACTCACAGCACGCACAGTTGCTGTCTTGGGCCTACGCTGGTGTCACCATGCCGTGGTCTAGCTACTGGTTCGCCCGGTAGCCGTGTTCGCGGCCTTCTCACCTCTGCCCCCCCCCTCTCTCGCACACGCTCTCTCCCTCTCTCTCTCTGTATAGGTTTTCCGCCTGCCTCGCGGCGCCCTCCTGTCTGCGCGCACGCGCGCAGTTGCGCCTGCACGGTGCACGACGAATCCATGCGTGCGTGCCAATGTGCGTACGTGCACACCTGCGCACGCGCGCGCGAAGGTGCGTATTTGCGTGCACGCGCATGCGGGTGCCTCCGTGCACGCGCCCGTGCATGCGCGCACACGCGCCCCGTCCTTTTGCGCGTGCACGGTGCACGACGAATCCATGCGTGCGTGCCAATGTGCGTACGTGCACACCTGCGCACGCGCGCGCGAAGGTGCGTATTTGCGTGCACGCGCATGCGGGTGCCTCCGTGCACGCGCCCGTGCATGCGCGCACACGCGCCCCGTCCTTGCGAACGTGTGCTCACGTGCGCGCGCCCATGCGCTGGTCAGAGCCTTTATGCCAATGGCATCATGCCAAGAGAGAGCAATGGCCGACCCACATACACGCGGCGCGTTTCAGAAAGCGCCTGGCCTTTGGGTGATCGAATGAGTTGATATTTCTTCCTCGGCGGATGGCGGCCGAAGGCCAGCGGAAGGCGGCGGAAGCAACGCGGGGCGGTTCTGCCGGCGGAAGCTGGCGGAATGCCAGCGGAAGTCCGGCGGAGGTAACGTATGCGCCACATCGAGACGTTTTTTTGTTGTTGTTGATGTTGTTGTTGATGATGTTGCTGTTGGTGTTGTTGAAATCTCACTACTGAAGAACAAGTATTGTTGATCCCCCTCTCTGGCGCCCATTGTGCGCTTTCAATAGAAATCTTCGTGCTTCCTCCGGGGCTCGCGCCTTGTTTTCTATCCGTCACGGGGCTCAAATTATGTTCTTGGCCCCCGGATTACAACAATAACGGCTCCCACTTGAAACTTCCTCACAATTTAGCCAGGACCCCAGCTCCCGCCCGAGACTTTCTCGCATTTTACTCAGGAGTCGCGCTCTCGCTTTGGACTTCCTTACGCTTTCTTATAGGATCTTTCTCTCGGCGCTCTGGAGTCGCGCTCTCGCTGGAGACTTGTTCGCAATGTATTAAGAATCGCGCTCTTGCCTTGAAGTTCCCCGCAATTACCTCAAGCGCTGCGCTCCCGACACTCAGGCACCCAGGAGTCGCGCTCGCGCTTAGGACTCCCTCACAGCTTACTTAGGAATCGGGATCTCGCTGCCCTTCGTGGTCCCGTTGCAGCCCTTCGTGGCCCCGTTGCAGCCCTTCGTGGCCCCCTCGCTGCCCTTCGTTGCCCCGTTGCAGCCCTTCGTGGCCCCCTCGCTGCCCTTCGTGGCCCCGTTGCAGCCCTCGTGGCCCCGTTGCAGCCGTTCGTGGCCCCCTCGCTGCCCCTCGTGGCCCGTTGCAGCCCTTCGTGGCCCGCTCGCTGCCCTTCGTGGCCCCGTTGCAGCCCTTCATGACCCCCTCGCTGCCCTTCGTGGCCTCGTTGCAACCCTTCGTGGTCCCCTCGCTGCCCCTCGTGGCCCGTTGCAGCCGTTCGAGGCCCCCTTGCTGCCCTTCGTGGCCCCGTTGCAGCCTTTCGTTGCCCCCTCGCTGCCCTTCGTGGCCCCGTTGCAGCCCTTCGTGGCCCCCTCGCTGCCCTTCGTGGCCCCGTTGCAGCCCTTCGTGGCCCCGTTGCAGCCCTTGTTGGCCCGTTAGCTTCCCTTTATTGCCCCCTCGCTGCCCCTCGTCGCCCCGTTGCAGCCCTTCGTTGCCCCCTCGCTGACCTTGGTGGCCCCGTTGCAGCCCTTCGTTGCCCCCTCGCTGCCCTTCGTGGTCCCGTTGCAGCCCTTCGTGGTCCCATCGCTGCCCCTCGTGGCCCCGTTGCAGCCCTTCGTGGCCCCCTCGCTGTACTTCGTGGCCCCGTTGCTGCCCTTCGTGGCCCCGTCCTTGCCTTCTGCGGCCCAAGATACGTATAGCCTTCGTGGCCCCCTCGCTGCCCTTCGTGGCCCCGTTGCAGCCCTTCGTTGCCCCCTCGCTGTACTTCGTGGCCCCGTTGCAGCCCTTCGTGGTCCCCTCGCTGCCCCTCGTTGCCCCGTTGCAGCCTTTCGTGGCCCCCTCGCTGCCCTTTGTGGCTCCGTTGCAGCCCTTCGTGGCCCCCTCGCTGCCCTTCGTGGCCCCGTTGCAGCCCTGGCCCTCTCGCTGCCCTTCGTGGCCCCGTTGCAGCCCTTCGTGGCCCCTTCGCTACCCTTCGTGGCCCCGTTCCTTCGTGCCCCTCTCGCTGCCCATCGTGGCTCCGTTGCAGGTGTCGCGATCGCTCGATACTTCCTTGCGATTCATGCAGGACGCACGCTTCAGCAACCCGCTTGCTCGACCTGGCCTCCTGGGCCCGCCTCCGCGACCCGCCCGTTAGGACCTATTCGCCCGATCTGCCCGTCTGGTTCTTTCACTTGTTTTCTGCTCCAAGCCCCCTTCTGCTACTCGCTCTCTCTCGTGCTCCATCATCCTCCTTTCCCCTTGTCCCTTCCTTGCATCCGTCCTCTCTTCCCCTGTCCCAGGGGCTGCACGAATTACACGTCGCAGGTAAGGAAGACATACCCCCGAGGGGGTACGACCGAAGACGAAGCGGGCGCGTATTGAGGGATTGGGATACACGTGTTTAATGACACGGGGGCAGATAAGATCGATCAGTCTTGAAATGATTACTGGTACTGTTGGTGGTGGTGGCAGTGGGGGGTGAGGGGAGAGGGGGCGATTCAGGGTTGCCCGACACTGCCATCTAGACGAACGCTGACAGACGTTTCGTTGAATGCGTTGCCAGTTTGCGGAAGCAGTGTGTTTGTCTTGTTTATGATTCCTCAAAGTTTCAAGTAGTTGCACTCGGCTCTTATGGTGTTGGTTATTGTGTCCTTGTTAGTTATGTTTTTTCAACGAGTTTGTCTGTCCTGATGCGATGTTTCGACATCGAGTTTTTACGGTGAACCTGTTACACACTCGTTTTTGTCATTTGCGCGAGCACTGCGATGTCTCCTGCGTTACTCCTGCTGCGTGCTGCAGATGAAATAAGTTTTTTTCCGCGCAGGAGTGCCGTGCGTTCGAGCTGCTGAGGAATGGCCATGACCGTGGCAACTATTTGATCACGACTCATGCACGGATCATCGCAATGACTTGTACTCATGCTGCTCTGACTCGGAAAACCCTGGTTGGCCTGAACTTCCAGTACGACAACCTGATCATGGAGGAGTCCGCGCAGGTTCTCGAGGTGGAGACCTTCATTCCCATGCTCCTGCAGTCCTCGGACCAGGGGGTCAGCCGTCTGAAGCGCGTGATGTTTATCGGCGACCACCACCAGCTGCCTCCGGTGGTGAAGAATAGGGCATTCCAGAAGTACGGCCACTTAGACCAGTCCCTGTATGCTCGCTTCGTGCGCCTGCGGACTCCGACGGTGGACCTGAACCTGCAGGGACGCGCGCGGAAGGAGATCGCGGAGCTCTATGCGTGGCGATACAAGGAGCTGGGGAATTTGGCCAAGGTGTTGACCGACAAGCGGTACATGACCGCGAACCCCGGGCTCACCTACGAGTATCAGTTCATAGATGTGCCGGACTTCGACGGCAAGGGCGAATCGCAGCCAACGCCTCATTTCTTCCAGAACCTCGGGGAGGCTGAGTATTGCGTAGCGCTCTTCATGTACATGCGGCTTCTGGGCTATCCAGCCTCGAAGATCAGCATCCTCTCCACATACAACGGGCAGAAGGCGCTCATCCGAGACGTAGTGAAGCAAAGGTGCGCCTGGAATCCGCTCTTTGGCGAGCCAGGAAAGATCACGACAGTCGATCGGTTCCAGGGCCAGCAGAACGACTACGTCATCGTGTCCCTAGTCCGCACCAATCAGGTGGGGCATCTCCGCGATGTTCGGCGGCTGATCGTCACAGTGAGCCGCGCCCGTTTTGGTTTGTACATCTTCGGGCGCTTCTCGATCTTCGAGAACTGCTTCGAGCTGTCGCCCGTCTTCAGCCGAATGGCCAAGCGACCACGGCTGCTCTCCCTCGAGCTCGACGAGGAGCGGGAGGGGGGGCCTCGTTCAGGATATCGGATATGCAGGGCACAGTGAGACATTGACTCGCGAAGAACCTACCGTGGAAGCCCACACCAAGAGACACCCCGCTTGCCTCCAGGGTGCCCTGGGTTTCCGAGGTTTCGATGGTTTTGCCATGGAAGGCTTGACGTTCCAACACCAGGAATCGGAGGACGTCCTGGGGTCCCAGGGGTTGGGCTTCTTGTGGAAGGTTGCTTGTGGTCGAGCTCCTGCCTTGTCTGGGATGCAGACGGTGGTCTTCGGCCTCGTCACTTCTCGCCTGCGGCGGACGGCCGCGGCAGACTGGCGGTGGCGTGTGGAAGCAGAAGGCTGGCGGGGGTCCGCCAGCGCAGGTCGCCAAACGTGTCGTCGGGAGCCTCGAGACGGGGGTCCATGCAAGCGGGGGTCCGCCAGAGCGCCGGCTCTTGCAGGATCCTGCAGGGCCAGGGTGGCATTGACCCGCGTTGGGGTGCAGGATCCTGCAGGATCCTGCAGGATCCTTCGCATTGACCCGGGTTTGGGTGCAGGATCTTGCAGGATCTTGCAGGGCCTGTTTGACGCGGGTCTGGGCTGACCCGGGTCAGAAGATCCCCGATGTCGCTGGAAGGCGGCGGAAGCAGCAGTGAGACGTCGACATTCGTGGATTCAGAGCTTCAGGGATCGAGCTGCACCGTTCACGGCATGGACTACATGAGGCTTGATAGCATTGGATGGTAGGTCGAAGGGGGGATCGGGATGGGGTGGCGCGAAGGTTCGGATGAAGCAGGTGTGGTTGTGAGGGTGCGTTGTGGGGTATATACACGGCATCGCAGCAATTGGTGCGGCAGTTGGGCATATTCTCAAAGAGCAGCTTGTTTGCTTGAGCATTCAGTGTTTTCTAGCTTTTCTGAGAGGGGGTTGTCTTTTGAGTCGGTCATGTGGTTTCTCTCGCCGAGTCGTGTCATAGTGGGGACGTCACCGACGACCTTGTGCCATTCACTTGACGCCGTTGTGAAGGAATACAGCACCAGCTCTAATGGCACAGAGAATGACATAACAGAAAAACTCGGGCTGGACCCCCTCGCTGGCGCGCGGAGCGCGCTATGGGCGGCACCGGCTGTCCAGCGCCGATCCGAGAAATCCGCGCGGACCTCCGAGTTTTTATGTTTATGTAATTCTTCGTTCCCCTAGAGCTGGTGCTGGCTAGCTTGGTGCACTTGCGAATGCCAAGGCGAATTCTCACGGCGGCAGCGTGCGCGGAGGATACCGTTGAGTCGGGCATGTCACTCTACAGGAGGAATATTCCTAAATGGTCAACAAATAATTACGGGGCGACTTTTGGACTATTTTTGGGTAGTCTTGAGTATGCCCGACCTGACGGCAGCGTGCGCGGAGGACACCGCCACGGAGCGGGTCGTGGGCGCGCCGAGCAACCCGACGGTCGCCACGGGCCTGGAGCACATGTGGTCTCTGCTGCAGGACCCGGCGGGCGGCCCTCCTCCGTTCCGAGAGGGTAGCCTTAAGGCGGGCGCGTCCCTCTACAGGAGGAATTTTCAGCAATACTCCAAACATAGCCTCGGAACGATGTTTTGATTGGTGTTTACTGATTGTGAATATTTGTTTGAATAGTTATTGTTTTTCGTCCGACATCCGCCTGCATAATTTTTGGTAAGTCTGAAGTATTTTCCGTCCAAAATCTGTCTGTAGGGGAACACGCCCGACCGAAGGGTAGGCAGAGCATAGCGAGCTGCCTCACGGTCGACGGGTGCCGTGGTTCCTGGGCGCAGCCAGAGCGAGCGCTTTCCAGCAGGGTCTCGTGATGTGCCTCGTCGTGGCACCGGTCTTGATGGGCCTGTTTTCCACCACCACCAGAAGCTGGAGGGGGGAAGGAGGTGGAGGATGTGGAGGAGAAGGAAGAAGACGAGGGGGAGGAGGACCCCTCCCCCCTCCAACTTCTGGTGGCGGTGGTGGAAAGCAGGCCCATCAGGTGTCGCTCCGCGCATCGCTCAGAGCGTAGCTGCCCTGTGGCTGGACAGAGCGTTTCTTGCGTGCACTGTTGTGTTGTGTTGGGGGCCTCCTTAGTGAGCACGAGCATTGCGGCCTTGAGGAGATGGAGGAGGAGGAGGAGAAGGAGGAGGAGGAGGAGGAGGAGGAGGAGGAGGAGGGGGAGGAGAGGAGAGGGGGAGGAGGGGGAGGAGGAGGAAGAGGAGGAGGAGGAGGAGGAGGAGGGGGAGGAGGAGGAGGGGGAGGAGATCTCCCTCGATCCGCCCAGCGATCCGAGGAACTGTTTTTTTCAATCCGGCGAAGAGGTCCGTGTCCGCAGCCTTGCGGCCTGGATTCCGATGCGCGATCCCGCGGCTGCGCGGTCGCACGGAGAGATTCCGCGCGGGACGCTCGCGACAAACGCGCCCCGTATTCTCATGATGTTCCAACCTGCTTTAGTTTTGACCGCCAGGAAGAATTTCGAGTCCCAGAACACTACCGAAACTCGAGGTTTTCACGTGTCGGGCACTGGGAGACACCCGTCCGACACTGTCTCGACACTGTTTCGACACTTTTCCGGGTGCTCGAAATTATTTTTGGGATGTGGTTTGTAAGTACGATGGGGGCAACATGACCGTATCCGCGGGGTCGCAGCCCACGGGCCCGGCCTTGGAGGCCGCGTGCACCCTGATTTTCCAGGAGGGCTAAAACATAGCACCAGGATCTCGCCACCGAAATTCCCGTCGGGGTTTTAGGGAGTCCAGATAGGTCTATAGGCCTGGGCATCTATTTTTTAGCATTCTGGAAGGTCAGGGTACGGATATGTTGTCGCCCACGATGCTTGCTTCTCATCCTGCTGTTCGTGACCTGGCGTCGGGGCTCCGCTCTTCGTTCGCCGCCAGCTCGGAGTCGAGGCTTCGCCAACGAGGCGAGGGTGCACCCCCGCGGAGACGGCGTCGCACCACGTGCACGTCTCTGTATCGGAGTGGCCTCGCGGCCGCTTCCTCCGACCTCGAGTTCAGGGGAGGCAGAATCACCCGGACCCGATGGCTGGCGTTGGCCACACGGCCTTGGGCGTTTCAATAAAAAAACGCCCTGCCCTGCTCGATTCCCTCGCTGGGTGCGTTTACGAGACGACCTTATCTGTTGCATCTTCGGGGGACCTCGCCTGTCCCTAAAATTGGTGTCTGTTTGGGGGCCCGACGCGGGCTCGATGCGGACCCGACGCGGATCTGGCGTGGACTCGGCGCGGACTCGACCCGGATTCGACACGGATCCGACGCGTCCACACATGGATTCGGCACGGCTTCGGCGCGGACGGGGCCGCGACGGGACGGACGAGGTCCCCCGAGGATGCGACATAAGACCTCGCGCGTCGGGGCGGCTGCCCGTGAGGGAATCCGCGTCGAATCCACGCCAAATCCGCGTCGAGTCCGCATCGAGCCCGCGTCGGGCCCCCCAAAAGACACCAATTTTAGGGACAGGCGAGGTCCCCCGAGGATGCGACAGAAGGCCTCGCGCGTCGGGGCGGCTGCCCGCGAGGGCCTCGCCCCCCGCCGCCGGGGCCCCCTCCGCTCGGACAGAGCGGGCGCTGCAGGAGCGTCGAGAGCGCGAGGCCTCGGCGCGCCGCGGAGCAGCGGCGGGGGGCTTCTTCGCGCGGAGGCGACGCGTCACCAGCGAGGCACACGTTGAGCTTCTGATGCTGCTGGTGAATGCGGTGTTGCATTTCGGGCCTGCTCGGTCATGCTGTGCAGCATTTTTTGTTTTTGCCTTATTATTATTATTATTATCATTATTATTGCTATTATTATTATTATTACCATCATTGTTATTATTATTATTATTATTATCATTATTATTATTATTACTATTATTATTATTACTATTATGACTATTATGACTATTATTATTATTATTTTTATTATTATTAATTTATTATTATTATTATTATTTTTTATTAATATTATTATTATTATCATTATTATTATTATTATTTAAAAATATAGCAAAAAACGAAGTACTAATTTGTTGCAGAGCCCATGTGTTTTGTTGACCCTGACCCCACCGATCTGCCTGAGGGGTGCCGCCGAGTTTCAAGACATGTGGCACATCCCGTGGGTTTTTCGACCCTGACCCTGCCCGTCTGCATGAGGAGTGCCGCCGAATTTCAGAACTGTGGCAAGGACCTTGTGCTTTTGGACCCTGACCCCGCCGAACTGCGTGAGGGGGGTCACCGAATTTCAAGACATGTGGCAAATCCATTGTGTCTTTCGACCCTGACCCCGCCGATCTGCGCGAGGGGTGCCGCCGAATTTCAGAAATGTGGCAAGTCCCATGGGTTTTCCGACCCTGACCCCGCCGATCTGCGTCAGGGGTGCCGCCGAATTTCAGAAATGTGGCAAGTCCCATGTGTTTTTCGAACCTGACCCCGCCGATCTGCGTGAGGGGTGTCAGTTTCGACCCCCCCAGAAATTTTTAGAACCCTCCCAGGAGACGCTAGGTCTGGTTTTCGGCTCCCCCTCCTCGCGCGGTGTACAACAAGAAACAGTGAGCAGCATAAAGCAGTATTGTAACAGTGGAAAATGGAAGGTGGAACTGGCGCAGGGAACAGCAACGCCTCAGCGTACAGCCTGGTGGCCCCACAAGGGGGCCGGCGGATTATGGGGGTGGATTTTTTGACATCTATGACAGCGGGTTCAGGAGGCCCCAGGAGACCGTTGTTCTTACACCCTCTGGCGATAGCGGGCGTGACCGGGGGTGCGGGAGGGAGTGGAGGAGGGGGCCGGGCACGCCACGATTCGCGGCGGCGCCGTCTGGGAATGCCTATAGAGCCTAGTAGGTCGCCCCTGCCAAATCAAGGGCACCCCTTTGTCCTGTCTTCAAAGACCCATGCCTTCCACATTCCTGCAGTGGAGACTCCTGCTAAGAAACACCTTACTTGCTTC